AACAAAGCCCAGTGAGGGGAGTGAAAGGCAGCTCAATTTCAATGCAGGGTAGCCAAGAACTTGCTGTCACTCAAAGCTGTCTCAGCAGGGCGCAGGTCAGCCAGCAGGGTAGAGAGCTCCCAGTCCCTGCAAGTTTTCAGACAGTTTCCCAGTGGCTTGGGGATGATGTAGAGAGGGCTGTGGCGGGAGAGAGGTTAAACTAGACCAGGGTTTTTTCAATCTTTCTTGGAAAGCGTTTCTTCAAATGACAGCTTACGGGAAGCCCAGTAAATAACACACTGCTTCTCTGGTTGAGTTAGGGGTAAGGGCTCCCAGGGCCCCTACCTCTAAGGAACTGTTGGGATTTCTTGAAATACACTTGAAAACTAGTGACTGGGCAGTCTCTAAGATCCTTTTTAATGTTAAGACTTGGTAAGCCAAGACAGGAGCTTGAACATGCCAGGCTAGTACTTTAAAACAATTGTCTTGCTCCAAAAGTTTGTTCATTTTCTCTCTGTTCTTTCTGCTTACAAACCCTGGACCTGGCTGCCTCCTCTGATGGCCCCTTGTTTTCCACATGCAGCCTGTGCAATAAGGGCAAGCAAAATGGCCACTCTCTGGGGCTGGGACATAAGCACAATGCGTTTGCCAGGGCTGGTCTCATTGTGCACGGGATGTTTGTAGACACAGTGGCCTGAGTTGAGCAGTCATCCAAGAGGAGTTTATTCAACATTCACTGAGTATCTTTTCTTTCTGTGTCAGGCTTCGTGCTGGACACTGGGAATATAATATCCAGTGAGGGAAGACCCCTGTCTCTGAAGAGTGTCCAGTCTATGGGAGAAACAGCCTTGTAAAAGGCAGAGCACAATACACTGGGGAGGAACAGAGGAGCACACCGGGCAGGGGCAGTGTGGGTTGGGGGAGGTGTCAGGGACGGCTCTGGTAGAGACGTTTCAGTGGAGCTTTGAAAGACAAGTAAGAATTAACTTGATGAAGGAGGAATGGGCATTTGAGGCAAGCAAAAGTATTCAACAAGATCAGAACAAAGGTAAGAAGAGCAGTGTGTTCAGGGAACTGTCACTCATCCAGAATGACTGGCGCTAAGGAAGTGGGTGAGGGCCTAGAAAGAGATGAGGCTAGAGGTCACCACGGGCCAGATTCTAAAGCTCTTGTGAGCAGATCCAAAGGGACTTTGTTTTGAAAGCTCTGGGGAGCCTGGGAGGATTCCTAAGTGGTTCGAACAAATTTTTCTTATAGCTCTTCCAGTTCCTGAGGCCCGAAGAGCTCAGAAGTGGCTCTGTGAATGCGAGGGATGAGCCTGATCAGTGGACATTACAAATGATCCCATTAAGTCTGGGGCATGGGTAGTCCGCTTTCTATTCCTGGCTTGGCTCCTGATGTAGGCAGTGACCTTCAAGTCATCTCTTTCTCTTTTGTGGACCAAGTCTCTCCTTCAGCAGCATAGGGATAAAAATGCTGCCACCAACCTACTACATTAGGAGAATTGCCAAGACCAAAGTGCTCCATGGAGCATAAACAGAGCACAAAATAGTCTTCCTCAGGTAGAACATGCTGTCTTTTGAAACAGGGTTTGGAGGAATCAGAAACGTGTAACGTGTGCATTTTTTTCTTGAGTTGCCAGCAAGGAAACTGGCACACCAGTTTCTCAGAGAAAGGGCTTGTTCAAGAGCAACCATGACTTCTTAAGGCCTGAGTTGGCTGCTGGAGCTGGGGTTAGGGGTGATCGGGAGGTTGCCCTCTCTTCCGAGCTGGAGGTGGCGGAGGGCAGGGGAGCGTAAGGAGAGCAGTAGCACATCTCACCAACCAGCAGGTTCCTGCCGACCTCACAGGGTTATGGGAAAGACTGAGATAATCCAAGTAAAGGGCTTAGCACAGTGCCTGGCACATGGTAAGCCCCCAGTAATAATGTTAGTGGTTAGTGTTAACGAGTATATATTGTGAGGCCAACTCTCAACTCATAGGGCCTCCTGTCTCTTGAATAGAACACATTCTTTGAGACTTTATATTGTCTGCTTTTTATTCTCTATTAAGCCATAAGCGCTTCACAGTGGGTACGACGATCTGGCAAGATTTGCATTCCCCACAGCATCCAGCAGCTTTCGTTAGCCCTTTGCCCCTCATCTGAGATGGCACTCAGGCGCTCTGAGATGCCTTGTACTGTAATTATTCACGTCAGTGTCTCACCTTGCTGAACTGTGAGCTCCTCAAGGGCAGGGAATGAACCTTTATTAAAGATTTTTTTTTTTTATTTATTCAGTTTTTCCCCCCAAAGCCCCAGTAGATAGTTGTACGTCATAGGTTCACATCCTTCTAGTTGCTGTACGTGGGACTCGGCCTCGCGTTGGACGGAGAAGTGGTGCCTCGGGGCGCTCCCGGGATCCGAACCCGGGCCGCCAGCATCAGAGCGCGCGCACTTAACCGCTAAGCCACGGGGCCGGCCCATGGGAATGAACCTTTAAATCTTTGCCCAGAAACAAGCATGCTCAGCTTGGCCCTGCTTCAAGGCCTCAGCACCTGCTGTTGTCTTTATCTGGTACTTTTCCCCAACTCAAGCATCAGCTGTCACCTCTACAGAGATGGCGCTCCTCACCATTAAGTTATTGTCTCCACTACACCTTCTATCACATTTTTAAAAATTTTCATAGCACTACCAGTATTTGAAATACTCTTATTGGTTTACTTGTCTTGTCCACACGAATATAAGCTCCATGAGAAAAGGGGCTTTGTCTGTCCTGTTCATTGCTGCATTCCCCAGTTTCCTATAACCGTGCTTGGCAAATAAGAGGTGCTCAATAAATATGAATGAATGCTGAATCGATGCGAAATGAAATGACGGGGAGTGGGCATTGTACCTCTTCTCCAAGACTGAACAAAAGGTCAGTTTTGTAGAGACTGCAAAAAACACATGTGGCTCCTACTTCCAAAGTGGATGGAGAAGAAAGAAGTAGCGTATTCACATCCTCAGAACAAGACAAGGCAAACTACGACCAAGTTCTAGACATGAGGCCCAGAATCAGAGGCAAGAGAGACATAGATGGTGGCTGGAACAGAGCTTGAGAGCAGGGATCATCCTACTCATCTTCCTGTGTCAGCACCTTACATGGCGGTTGCAGAGTTGGTGCTCTGTGAGTGATTGTTGAATTGCACTGAGCAGACAGCCCACCAACATAATGCAGGAGATGAGGTGAGATACAGAGACTCTGGGTATAAACTGGTATCTTGGTTTGCAAATATTCCTTCTCAGTAAGTTCTTGATCTATGTGTGTTAAGAGATTCTCTTAAATTCAGACTATTTAAATATAGGCACCAACAACAAGATAATGTTTTGGCTAAAATCCATGTCATTTATTTATTCAACAAACAACTGAGTATCTCGTATGTTCTAGGCCATGTCCTTGGCACTAGGAAGAAAGATAAACCCTGGCCCTCAAGGAGCTCACAGTCTAGCTGGGGAAAAAAGATGCATACATAAATAAATATAATGTAGAGTATGCAAAGGAGACCACTGTGGGAAGGAAAGAGCAGGGGACTCTGATCCTCTGGCTAATGTCCAAACGAAAGAAAGACCTGACTAATGGGCATTTTTTGTGAAGAATAGATAAGGCAATGGTTTGCAAAGTGTGGCTGGCTAATTACCCACATCAGAATCACCTGGAGCACATATTAAAATGTAGATTCCCAGCACCTTCTGCAAAGATTAAGATTCAGCAGATTGGAGTTTGGGACCTGGGAATCTGCATTTAAAGTACTCTAAGTAATTCTACTGCAACTTAAAGTGTGAGAACCTGTGAGATAAGGTTTGCTTTTTAAACTGGAATGAAGAATGATCTGCACATCTGAAATGCTAACTTGTGTTGGTCTTTAATGAGAGGCAGGGGAAGTAGAGAAGAGGAGGAGAGTGGGCATTTATTAAGCTCTACTGTAGTCTATATTTAAGTTAATCTAATTCTTACAATCATCCTGTGAGGTAGATATTATCCCCATTTTACAGATGAAGAAACAGAATTAGAGAGTTTAAATAATTGGTTCAACATTACAGAGCTAATGAATCACAACACTGAACCCAGATTCACTTAACTCTAAAGCCTGTCCACTTTCTATAACACCATGTCGCACCAGGGGACAAATTTACTGATTAATGTTACAATTTTCTTTTAGTTCTTTGCCAGATCTCGCTAGGTAAATGTAAAGAACAGCCACATGACACTTTGATCACGTCCAATGTAATTGATGATGGATACACCCTTTTTCAGCAAGTGGGGATTTAGGGCAAAGCTGGGAGAAACAACAAAATCAGCAGCCAGTTCATATTTCTTTTCCCATTATTTTCTCATCCTCTGGTGGAGGTTATGAAAATGTACTATGGCTAAGAACCAGGTCCATCTGGAGGGAAAAGCAAACATACCCACGAAAGTAACTCCACCTGATGTCAAAGATTCCTGGGACTCAAAACATCCAGATTCAAGTTTCTCAAAATATGAACTGTCAGAGTTAGGTCCAGAATTTGCATTAGGAAACAGCTCAACCTTTAGAGAAATTGTGAAAGGCTAGCAGCTTTTCCAGGTTAAACAAACACTGTCTCTTTCTACACACAGACTCAGAAGTACAACACAATAGACACAGCTCAAAAAATAATGGGAAGTCCAATCCCATTTAAAGAGCTTGGGGACAGGCCCAACCTATAAAAATTCTTCTGTAACAAACAAACACACACACAAACTGCAAATCCTGGTCACACTCCCACTCACCATATTCAGTGTCATAAACCAGATCTTAGGCAGGAGCAGCAGAGTGGAGCATGTTAGATCAAGAAAAGGAAAGGCATAGTAAAGACGGTCAACAGCAATACTGGGGACCCCTGGCCTTGGGTCCAGAAGGCTCGTGTGTAATCACCACCGTCTTCTATCACTGAGCTCGGAGCCACAGCAGTGACACCACAAACCAAATGTGAGTTTCCAGCACTGGAGAGCTCCTTTCTTATTTTTGACATTTCAAATGACTGCTGAGTCCAAAGATGAGTTTTGATCCAATCAGCCCACAGCACTGACACCATGGACAGCATAGAGCTTAGATTTCACTATTTAGCATAACAAAGATTGTAAGCCAGACTTTATTTTATTGCTACATTTTCTCCACACCCAATCTGGGAACATTTGCTTCCACTCACTTTTTCACATAATACTGGCACGGCTTAGAGTTGTTTCAAACAAACAAACATGCAAATCTGGGTTGATCCTCTCCTTACAAAAGTGTTGATTTATTTACACTGCACTGATTTACACCTTCCAAATACATAGCTTCTAACAGGCAGAGTTAGAGGAGCAGGTACCACAAACTATGGTTTAAAAATATGCAGGCACTGTACCTGTGTGTTTAACTACATCTGAAATCTACTGATACTCCAAACCAGCTACACTAGAGGCAACTCTGGGGCATCTAGATGAAGTCTTAATCCTGATGGCAATATCTGGTTGTTCTAGAGTCTGAACAGGATATTTGGGTTATGCTTTGGCCAGCCAAGTGGTGCATGGGAAGAGGATGTAAAGCCCACATCTAACTACAGCAGGTCTTCAAGCTTATTATCCCATCAAGAGTTTATAAAGATGAGGAACTAACCATTTGGGAGCTGTGCAGTCAAAACTGTCAAAATGAAAACACACTGTTAACACCGTGTAAAATCAAGTCAACCACCTTGCAGATCCTTAGCTGTCTCTGGTTATGATCTCAAACACTTAAAAATGAAAACTCAAGTATACTGGGAGATAATTATCAGAATGTTTGGGTACCTTCATTCCTGAATATCAAGTAATAGGGCTCACCTCCATATTACTTCTTATAATAAGCATATAGGGCAACTCATTAGAGACTGCTTATTAAAGATGCTGAGCTCCCGAGAGTTCAAGCGGGTGGGTGGGCTCTAGACGGTGGGCTCTAGAGCAGACTCTGTAAGCCAACCCTTACAGCTCTAAGTCTTATCCTGGTTCTGCACACATTTCAGTTCTGCTCCAAGTCCGCTTTGCTCCAATTCAGCGATGACAGACATATATTTGAACTCATTTGGTCTGAAGTTAAAGGTCTCCACTAACCCGTAGGTCTCTTTCCGATCAGTGGCATAGAAGAGCTGAACTTGGTTGGCAATGCACTGTGCCTCAGCAACGTTCTGTAAGGGAAAAAGAATAGTGAGGTCCTTCCTTCCACAGGGCCACAAAGCTCTGTGTCTGAGTCCTGTGGCGGGTGGGGGCTCTCACCGATTCCAGAAAGCTTCCCTGACTCCCTGACATCGCAGGTCTTGGTTAGGCCCCTTCTCTGTGTACCTAAATTACCCCATGCTTACCTCTATATCATACTGTATTGTATCTGTCCTTTTTTCTCTTTTGTCTGTCTTCCTGGTATGAATTCCTCAAAGTACATGCTTGTTTTACATCCTTGCACATAGTGATATTTGGTGAATGTTTGCTGAATAAATTAATGCATGTTCAAAATTCCCTCTTCATTCAGTTCTTTAGTAACTGTTAAGTATATCTCAAGGGGGAAAAAGAGGAGCAAGTTACCCAGCTCCAAGAACCAGTTTGTGAGTACTAAGTTCTTGACTAACCAGACATACTTTTCAATAAAACCTGTTCCTGATACCACCTCAGTCAGAAAACTAGTGCCAAAGTCACCTGTGTAGTTTTACAATTTGTCCACAAATTCTATGACACTCATCCCTTTGATGGGGGCTAATTTCCCTTTCCTTGAGTGCACGCTGTACTTAGTGACTTGCTTCCAACCAAAGGACTATGGTGGAATGATGGAGAATGACTTCTACTCTTAAGTCACAAAAGACACTGTAGCTTCTGTCTCGCTATCTCTCTTGAATCACTTGCTCTGGGGAAAGTCAGCTGCCACGTCATGAGGACATTCAAGTAGCCCTATGGAGAAGCCAAAGTGGCAAGGAAATGAAGCCACCTGCCAACAGCCATGCAAGTAGGGTCGGAGGTGGATCCTCAAGTCCAATCCAACCTTCAAATGACCGTAGCCCTAGCCGACATCTTGACAGCGACTTCAGAGAAACTCTGAGCTAGAACCACCCAGCTATGCTGCTCCTGAATTCCTGACTCCCAGAAATTGTGAGGTAATAAATGTGTGTTGTTTTAAGCCACTAAGTTTTAGAGTAATTTGCTATGTGGCCTTTTATAACTAACCCACTAGTAAAGCCACAGGGAAGAGAAGGGGCCAACTTCTCTAAAGCTCAATAGCAGAGAAATGGTGACCAGACCACTCTATAACAGAGTGGGGTCAGGACAAAGGCTACATTCTTGAAACCTTACAAAAGAATTATCTCAAACAACTCTTACTTTTCTTCCTATACATTCTCTAGTTCTAGCTGGTCAGAGGGACTTATTCATTATCACTGTGTTCCTATGGCCAAAACTCAACCCCTAAAGATAATGGAGAATTCCCACTAAAACTGTCTGTCAAAAGTGTGCTATGTCTAGGGGCTGGCCTGGTGGTGTAGTGGTTAAGTTCAGGCACTCCGCTTCGGCGGCCAGGGGTTCGCGGGTTCGGATCCTGGGCACGCACCTATGCGCTGCTTATCAAGTCATGCTGTGGCAGGCGTCCCACATATAAAATAGAGGAAGATGGGCACAGATGTTAGCTCAGGGCCAATCTTCCTCACCAGAAAGCAGAGGATTGGCAACAGATGTTAGCTCAGGGCTAATCTTCCTCACCAAAAAAAAAGTGTGCTATGTCTAGCTACAGAATGATGAAAACGGTTTATAAATACCATAGGCTGCTTTACCTCCATTCCCTCCTATGGGGCTTTCAGGTCATTTCTCACAAGCAGGCACTAATCTCTGAGACTGGATCTTCAATCAAAAGCTTTTTTCCAAAATGCTGGCTATTTCAAATTAATAGACTTTTAGAGCTGGAAGGGGCCTCACAGATCACCCAGTCCTCATTTAACAGGCCAGGAAACCAAAGCAGATGAGGTTCAGGGATGGGACCAAGGTCATATGGGCTAGCAAGTGGCAGAGCCAAGACCAGACCTCTCGACTTCCAGGCTGGTACTCCCTCCACTTCACCCTGATTCTGTTTCTGGTGTGCAAGATAATTAAGACTGATCAAGGTTGATAACTACTTTATCAATTTTACCTTTCTTATACTCAAACATGCCTCAAGAGCAAATCATTTCTTTTTTTTTTTTTTAATAATTTTATTTATTTGTTTTTCCCCCAAAGCCCCAGTAGATAGTTGTATGTCATAGCTGCACATCCTTCTAGTTGCTGTATGTGGGACGCGGCCTCAGCATGGCCGGAGAAGCAGCGCGTCGGTGCGAGCCCAGGATCTGAACCCGGGCTGCCAGTAGCGGAGCGCGTGCACTTAACCGCTAAGCCACGGGGCCGGCCCAAGAGCAAACCATTTCTAAAGCAAGTGCACTGCCATAATCCGAGGCAGATACCACCACTCGCTGAGCACCTGAACTGTAGGGCCTCTGACAACCAACTTTTGTTTCAGGCTTAGGATGGTGGAGGTAGCGGTAATTTTGGCTGTGTTCATTCTAGAACAGTGCTGTTCAAACTGCAGAGCCCTAGGGGTCCTGTGGAGGTGCCTCAGGTCCCTTCACCTCTGTCTCAGCTGTTATATCCTGGGGTTTTACATAGTAAGATTTTCTTTGGATAAAGGGTTCTGACCACTAGTTTGAAGACCACTAGTATAGTGGGTAGGGAGGTAAGACACAGGCAGATATGGGCATCTGTCTCTCATGGAGGATTATGGAAGCCCCCCCACCCCCCCTTATTCACCCCCTGCCTTTTGTTCTCTTAAAGTCTCAACATGAAGCAGTAGTCGCCTCCCTTTCCAAGACCCAAGAAGATAAACATATTAATTCCCTGTGCAGCTCAATAAGGAAGTATAGTAACAAACCTGATTCCTCCCCCTCTTTCAATCTTCATAGCTAATCAATTTACCAAGTCCTGCCCATTTACTCCCTATATATTTCTGGGGTCATTCTCTCTCCTCCATCCCTACTACCACTGCTCTAGTTCAGGTCTTCACTACCTCTTGCCCAGATTATTGCAACTGTCTTCTAAATGATCACACTGACGAGGCTAGAACTAAAAAATGTTTAGGAAGCAAATAATTAAGGTTAATGGTCTTGAAATTCAACTCTTTATGGGTCACTCCCTGTTCAAAACCTTTTAATGACTCGCGTCCTCAGGATAAAGCCAAACCTCTAAACACAACCCACCAAATCTCCTTTTTTATATACCAGTGATACCAAACTGTCTGTAACACCCCAAGTCACTTTATGCCACCTAGCATTTACGTATGCCATTCCCTCTGTCTGGAACATTTGCCTCCCCCTTCCCCCTTTCTTTATCTGGCTAAAGTCCTGCTCATCTTTGAGGTTCAGCCCAGGTGTCTTCCCCAGAACACTGTGCGTGTCTCTATCCTAGCACTTACTGCATTCTAAGGAAATCATCTATTGACACAGACATGGAACCAAATAAGTTTTTTGAATATTCTACTAAATTTTCAGCATTAAAGTTAATTAGTTCAGAAGAAACCTCTAGTTTCCATGTATTTCTATTCATTTGCTTTACTGTATTTGGAAATACCATGACTAAAATGCAAACTCATGCCTGAGTATGTAGGGGATCATATATTTATATTACGTTTCTAGGTTTCCCATCTCTGATTCCTGTATCTCTACAATAAATTCTAACATGTCTAGTTCTGTACTACATTGGAAACTCACAGTCAAGTTGACTTACACAAGGCAAACGTATGTTGTCTGGTATGCTGTTGAATGTTATAAGGCCAGGAGGCAAATTTTAATGATGATGAGAACTGTGCAGCAGTTTGAGACCACTAGAGTGAGGCAGTAAAAATGCCAAAGCAGAAAGGGTCTCTTCTGATCTCTAGAGTCCACTTTTAATAAGGTTTCATGTTGTGCTTTGCTGAAGATCAGAAAATAAAGTACAACTTCTATGCCACTCACTCCTGTGGTCAAATCTTAAACCTCATCATTATCGGTAACTATATCGCCTCCAAATCTCAATTTGAAATAGCCACATTTTTTCTACTACTTCCTGTCTTTTAAGCTCACTCCCATTCAAAAATCCTTTAACTCCACTAGGACTCACAATTCTTACTGTCTCTAACCTTCCTTATGTTTTTACTTCTCTCTTTATCCAGCTTGCATTCCATGGTCAATAATTATAATCATTCCTTTGCATTCACCTTTAAGTTCCTGGCCCTTGTCTTACTTCATTATACCACTTGGCTAAACCATAATCCTAGTTAAATCCAACTCTCAGTCTTCTCTCTCTGTGCCTGTACCCAGACAGCCATTCTCTGCCATATTCCTAGATTACAAGTTGGCAAACACTTTTTATAAAGGGATAGACAGTCAATATTTTAGGCTCTGTGGGCCCTATACTCTCTGTTGCAACTATTCAACTCTCTGTTGTAGAGCTGAAGCAACCACAGATAATATGTAAATGATAAGCATGGCTGTGTTCCAATAAAACTTTATTTACAGACATTGAAATCTGAATTTCATACACTTTTCACAGGCCATGAAATATTCTTCTTTAGTTTCACCTCCCTCCCAAACAGTTAAAGATGTAGAACAGATTCTTAACTCTTGGGCCTTCTAAAAACAGCCAGTGGACTGGATTTGGCCCACAGGCTGTAGTGTGCTGACTCCTGACCTAGATAAGAATTTCACATTTTCTCTTTTCCACTCAAACATCCAACACCTATTCTTCCATCCTCACTCTCAGCTGATCACCTTTCTCTCTTTTCACTAAGCGATCTGGAGAGAACTTCTATAAGCTATCACCACCTCTATCCATTTAACTGTATTTGTGTCCTTATATCCTGGCTTCTCTCCTCTTGTTCTATTTCTGGCAAAGATCAACCCCTCATTCTCAGACTCATCCACTCAAAAATACCACTTTTCTCCCGTTTCTCCTCTATTGTTAGCATTTCCCTCTCCACCGGATCTTTCCATCAGCATACAAATATGTTATTTCTTTCATATTTGTAACAAAAAACACCCTTGTCCCCACTTCTCCCCCTTCAGGTAACACCCCATTCTCTCCCTCCCTTCACTAAAACATCTCTTGAAAAACTGGTTTATGCTTACTCTAATTTCTCTTCCCCTCCTCTCTTCATTGTACTCCAATCATGCTTTTATCCTACCACTCCTTTGAAACTGTCCTTATAAAGGTCTCCAATGACTTCAGTGTTGTGACATCTAGTAAATTCTCAGTCCTCATCTCATTTGCCCTACCAGCAAGTGAGATGTGGCCAGTTGAGTACTCCCTATTCCTTGAAACATTTTATCTTAGCTTCCAGGGCATTCTATCATCTTTCTTTTCCTCCCACTTCATTGACTGTTTCTTTCACATCTTCTTTGTTGACGCTTCCTCATCTCTCCAGGGATTAGTTCTTAAGACTTCTTCTCTTTTTTATCTTCATTTATTTCCTCGGTGATTTTATTCAGTCTCATGGTTTTATTTTTTTATTTTTATTTTTTTTGTGAGGAAGATCAGCCCTGAGCTAACATCCATGCCAATCCTCCTCCTTTTGCTGAGGAAGACCGGCCCTGAGCTAACATCTATTGCCAATCCTCCTCTTTTTTTTTCCCTTTTTCTCCCCAAAGCCACAGTAGATAGTTGTATGTCATAGCTGCACATTCTTCTAGTTGCTGTATGTGGGACGCCGCCTCAGCATGGCTGGACAAGTGGTGCCTCAGTGCGCGCCCAGGATCCGAACCCGGGCCGCCAGTAGCAGAGCGCGCGCACTCAACTGCTAAGCCATGGCGCCGGCCCCTAGTCTCATGGCTTTAAATAAGAATCTGTATGCTGACAATTCTCACATTTATATCTCCAGCCTGGACCTCTCCCTTGAACTCCAGGCTCATATATCTAACTGCCTACTACTTGGATATCTAACAGACATCTCAGATTTAACGTGTCCAAAACTGAGTTCCCGATTTTCTTCCTAAACCTGTTTATTCCTCCTACAATCTTGTCTATTTCAGCTAATGCCCACTCCATTCTTCTGGATAGGATTTTGGGTGACTTCCAGTTAAGTGTGATGGGTGGAAGAATGAGAGAAATGGGGCTGAACAATTTCAGGAATAGAAGACAGGGAAGTAGAGGCCCAAACGTGTCCTAGACTTGAGGCTTACTGCTACTGTGAGATATTAGCTGAATGCCATCACTTTTTTATTCCCAATATGCAGCTGGTAAGGGAGAGAGAAAAAATAAGTGGGTGTTGTAACGAAGAATCTCAGGGGGAAGAGGTACTAAAGTGCCCACTATCTTGAGGACATCCTGAACTTAAACCCTGCCAGATAATGAGACTGAAATAAGCAAGGACTAGACAAACAGGTTGTACAATAATCATAAAACTGCTCCTGGCCGTGGAGATGCAGAGAGAACAAACCAATGGACATCATTACCTATGGGCATATGGTCAATGCTCTATCTCACGGAATGGGAAAAGGAGGAAGGGAAATCACCATGGATGATGAATGCTGTACACGTGAACAGTGTGAAGGAAGATTAAAAGATGGATAACTATTGTAGACTTTGAACTTTTCCCTATACTTAAGAAGCCATTTACTTGTCCACAGTTTCTTACCTAAAACCTCTAGGGCCAGATGTGTCTTAAGAGTCAGAATTGTTGGATTTTAGAAAGGTAATAGGGCCGGCCCCGTGGCTTAGCAGTTAAGTGCACGCGCTCCACTGCTGGCGGCCAGGGTTCAGATCCCGGGCGCGCACCGACGCACCGCTTCTCTGGCCGTGCTGAGGCCGAGTCCCACATACAGCAACTAGAAGGATGTGCAACTATGACATACAACTATCTACTGGGGCTTTGGGGGGAAAAATAAATAAATGAAGTTAAAAAAAAAAAAAGAAAGGTAATAAGTGCAGATACTGTAAAACTGTGTATTATGCCACTCCCTATAATCAAACACATAATATTTCCCTAGTAAAATGCATGAACATTCCACACCAAGTCGGATTAATGACTGTAAGTGGCCTAACATCAGTTGAAGGGAAGATTTAGCTACCAAATGAATTCAAGTCAGATGAGGTTTTGTGATAAATTCAGTTATGAAAAAACTTTGTTTTCAGAGCTTTTAGACTTCAAAACTGTGAATAAGTGATTGAAGATCTGTATTAATTTCAACTTGGAAGAGCTTAACAAGACAAAATTATTGTCAACTTTAAGTAAGAAACAAGTACATGTAGGTCTTGAATTACACCTTTCATGAGCTTTGGCAGAAGAATAATACCTCAGGGCCACATGGTAAATCCAGGGAGGTAAAAGTTGATTCTTACCAGAAATGTGGAATCCCTTTCTGCAGTCATCAGCACTATGCCCTTTTCTTCCTTAAGTTCAGGGTAGTGATATAAAATCAGCTGACTGGCTGCAGCATCCCCTCGGGTCTGTAAGGAGGAACACTTATCAAGGCTCCATAAGGTACCACCACAACAAAACTACAGCTGCAGAGCAATAGAGAGTCTGGAGGAAATTCTGGCTCTTAACAGCCACTTGGGTGGCTAGTGAGTGGGAGGACTGGTTATGTGGGGGGATGGTCAGGCCTGCCAAGGCATGGTGAAACTGACGGTTTGCAGTGTTATTTGTGTCTTCAATTGAAAAAGGTTTGGCTTTTTTCCCTGAAAATGTTTACAGTAGGCAGTGAATCCTTCATCATGGCCATATATTTAAAAACAAAACTGCACAAGAAGCTACCAAATCCAGTTCTAAAAAAGCAATATGCCTGTGTAATTGCTACTTTTATGGACTAGTGCATTTCACAGATGAAATCTACCTCCCTTGGCTGGCTCTGAAGACTGAGCTCTTTTAAGCTGTAGCAAACAGCTGGCAGGTTTGCACATGGGCCAGATTTGTAATGTGCAGTTTTAAAATATAATTGGGGTGGGAGGTAGGGGGAAAAGAAGAATGGGAACATGATAATTTCAGGAAGAATGGACAAGGCAGTGGTTACCAGATCTCAGTTCAGACTAAGAAGAGAGGCTGGGTTCAAGGCTATGGCCTCCATGTAGTGTAGGAGGAAACAACTATACATTCAAAAAAGATCTCTGGGGGGCCGGCCCGGTGGCACAAGCGGTTGGGTGTGCACGCTCCGCTGCGGCGGCCCGGGGTTCGCCGGTTCGGATCCTGGGCGCGCACCAACGCACCGCTTGTCAGGCCATGCTGTGGCGGCGTCCCATATAAAGTGGAGGAAGATGGGCACGGATGTTAGCCCAGGGCCAGTC